CGTTGTGGGGCGAGCTTCGGTGCCACCTCCCCGGTAGTAAAGCTGGTGGAGGGCGTGCTGCTGCCCCTGGCCCTGGTTGGGCACACTCCTGCTTCCACTACCCTCCCCTGAACATAACCCATGTACACCCGTCCCCGCGTTCCCTTCAACCTCCCCTTCTCTGCTTCAAGCCACCCTGCAGGAGCTTGTGTTGTTCCCCTGCATTACCGTACATCTGGGTGAATGAATGCACTCCTAAATGCCTCGCCTCTTTGCTAAGTTTTTGCCTGCCTAATAACCTCCCCATTTCTCCTCCTCACTACTAGTGTGATCCTGAGGGGCTTATGTATTTATCCCCTGCTTTTGTTTCAGCCTCCTCACATTCTGAGGGGTTGGATACCTTTAGAACCTCTGCACAAATATTCTAAACCGTATCTTATCGCTGTTATCTTACTCTCAGTTCCCTCCTACTTGTCTCCAAAACTATTACATTGTTCCTTTACAGCTTGAAACGTTCCCGTTGTTCTAATAACAGTAGGTCCAAGTAATTGTCATTTCTTCGACACACTTTTCAGAGTCCCTTAGCTGCTGCAGAACTTGTTCTGATCCTGCATTACTCCACCACCTCCCGTGGCCCCTGCTAATGTGCCTCAGCATAACTCCTCCTTAGAAACCACCACCTCCATTCTGTTGGCTACTCTCAGTCTTAGCAAGGATCTCTTTTCCCAATTTGTTCCAGCTTGGCAACCAGCAAGGCTCCAGCTTCATCTATTTTCGTCCCTAGGAACTCGTTTTCTATGGCTTGCAACGCCTTTTCAATCTTTTAACTATACAATCAGGGCAATAACAGCAACAGCCTTCATGCTTTACAGCAGCTTGCATCATCCTCAACGCTGTAATTGGTCAGGCCTGTATCATCCATATCCATCATCCCCCTCTGCAGGCTGTTGTTGGGTAGGTGCAGACTGTGTATACAGATCTATTGACCTATTTAAAAACAAAAAACAAAACAAGTTCTTAGCTGCCCCTCTGCTGGTGTTAGCCTCCCTCTGTTGCCTTTAGAGTTGTCTTCTGTTTTTCTTCTTCTTTTTTCAGTTCACTTTGGCAATTTGTCGGTATTTATGTGTTATCTCTATGTACACTGTATTTGCCATATGAACAATAGATTTATACACACCCACTCAGTCCATTAGAAACTTAGAAAATAAAATGATCCCCTACCACCAACCCCCATTTTATTACTCATCATCACCTAGTTGTACCAAAAAATTTCAAATTACATATTTTCGAAGTCCCGACAAGTAGTGATTGGCGCTGTGTACTGACAAAATTTTCGTTTGCAATTCCTTAAAAATGGCTATGTTTAAAAGTGAGAGTTTTGTGGTGCTGAGAAGAAAAGAGACACCCATTTTAGATTTTCTATTTATTATTTTCTCAAGATTTCGACTCTTATTTATCAATCCTAATTTCAATTTACCTGATTTGGGTCCCCTAACATCGCCGTAAGTCGAGGGGAGTGGCTGTACTTTCTTTCTTGTTCTCATCAATCCACTATATCTCTTTTGTGCTATCAGTCCATGAGAAAGCACACAAAACAAAATAAAATTTAAAGTCTCTAGGGTAATCCTATGTGACATTATTGAGCTTAGCAGTGCCCACCAGCCTGTTTCGCAATTTGTTCTTCACTTGTTATTTACAACCTCTTCCGGGGTCACTGATAACACTATGAACTGATTTAACTAAAAGGCACAGTACTACACTCCCTGGTTGGCCTTATCACAGCCGCGGGACCACAACCCTAAAAAAAATTAAATAAAAGTTTGGCCATATGGCAATGATTTTGTGGTTGTAGGCCCTTTGACCTGGGCTGTACCTCCTCCAACCCGGTGAAGACTGAGTTTTCAAAAATACAATCGCTGCCTAGCATTAAAAATCCTACTGACTTACACTTTCACATCACCAAGACGATCTGAGCGATCTATCGTGAATTACCAGAGCACTTCGCCGCCACAACTTAAGGCCCGAAAAGTTTCAACACGCTTGTGTTACAGATCTAACACGACCGACCCCGAAATGCCTAAAGCTTCTTTACTACCACTGGGATGGAGATTCTTCAGATGTGATTCCAAACTTCCATAACTGGAAAATCTATGTACAGAAAAGCATGCTGTAATGTAATAGGTACAGTACATATAATAAAGTAAGGGCACACCAAAAAATAGGTGCGTTCATAGCTTCCAAAATGACACTAAATCCTTTCTCCAGGTAAATATATACATATTTACAAGTATAGTATATATACCGTACTGTACTGTATATGAATCAGGATGTCAAATGTATATACATCTATAAAATAAGTTGGTTATATACAGCTTTTCATCCATGTACAATGCAATGTTTAATGGGTCAAATCAATATAATCTAATAATACATAAAAAAATAAGTCAATTCGACAGACTTTATTTCTTCTTGCAGTAAGGAGAAGGTCAGGTCAGGTCAGGTTAGCTCAAAGCTTATATTTTGGATGTGACTGCACTCTACCATCAGATAAAGATAAGATTTTCACTGCTGGTTAGGTTAGGTTGACCTGACCTCCTCCCCAGATACAGTAGTACAGTAGAATGTATTTTGGTTCTCTACAAACAGTCATCTATATATTAACCAAAAATAAGTAGCTGTATCAGAAATGGGATCACCATAAGATTAACCCCAATTTATTCCACTTTAAGATAAACCAACCCAATGTTAACCAAATTTAACCTAATGCTACCTAATCTAATTGAATCCATTAAGTGTCATTGGTTTCTCCCAGCTGAATAAAATACCTAAATCTGACACTAATCCTTTAAGGGTCATATGAGATACTTTTATCCTAAAGTAACTTCCCCAAGTAACATTTTGGTGGTTAATCTTTAGGTGAAATAAACTTGGGGCTAAACCTTCATGAGATCTGAGTAAATTTAAGGTATTTTTTTGAACAATCAGAATATCAAACTTAATTAGCATTATTTTCATATAGTCTAACATACCCAAGACTTAACTCATGTTCCATCATATTTCATCCTCGAGAATAAAGTACAGACTGCAGGGTAAATTTTAGCATCAGAATTCACGAGGGTTTGTATGTATTCAGTACCACATTATCTTTCAAATTACCAGAGATTAGTCCACCCAGTTTATTTCATTGTATTAAATAATTAACCATGCAAATGCAAAATCCGCTTCAACCTAACCTATCCAATTCTAAACTTTAACTATCCTATCCAATCCTAGACTAAACTATCCTAACCTAACACATCTAGATAGAAAAAATAAAGTCCACTGCAATTATAATACCATTTTTTACCTCCACACCTTGAGTTAGAAATTACAGATGTTTAATTAGATATTATACAGTACAGTACTTTATAAACCTTTGAGTTACCCCTGAAAAATGGGTGACATTGAAGAAGGAAAAAACGACCACAATTAAAATACAGTTCTGTACAGTAAAATCTAAATTTTCTGACTGTCTTAGTTAAAAAAATAATTTCATTATTTTACTCATTGTTTGTATTCCTGCACTGTCTATGCTGTACACATAACTCCAAAAAGTATCCTATGGAGAAGTTCAATTATTTTCAAATTGAACACTGTGACCTCCTGTTGTCTCAGTAGGGTTGTCAAAATCCTTCACCCGTTGCTTCATATTGTCTCATACAAAATGGTAAAGGTACTTTTTGAGCTGCGGTGTGAACTTGCGGATGAGTATACAGGCTGTCCCCAACTTACAACAGGGATAAGTTCCTGACCCATAGTTTAGGTTAGGTTAAAGCCCATACAAAACAACACAATATCCCATACATAATGAATAATGTACTAATGTAAAAAAATGGATTTTAATTACAAGTTTTTAGTGGTGAATGTATTGGGATCCCGTTTCATAAGTGCTGCAGATGGTAAGTCAGATGGTCGCAACTCCTGTAGGACCGCCTGTACCATATACCCAATAAATATCCATCTATCTACCTATCTAACAGACTCATTTAGGATATATTTGTAGGAGTAATTTCAATAGTAAATTTTGGGTCACCTGAAGAATTTCCATCCCAGCTACTTCACCTAAGATTAGCCCTCATAACTTTTTATTCAGTTTAAGATTAATCATCCTAATTCAACCTTTACCCAACCTAATCAAACCTTAACCCTTCCCAGGTAGCATTAAGGGAGGCACCTTTACAGTTGAATTAAGCTTCGGTGATAATCTTTAGTGATCAAACCATTTATAGATTAAAAATTACAGAAAAACAAAATAATATAAATTGCAATTCCTCAATACCATTTGCAGTTTTGCAAGTTGAGTAATGAGTTGTCTTATTAATCACATTAACACGAAACTAACCCAACCCAATCCCCTTCCAAGTAAATAAATATATTAGTTAATTAATCAGCAAAGTGAAATAAACCGTGGCAATCTTCTCAGATCCTTGGCTTCAATAAAATACTTGTCGAAATACTCGGCTTATATGGGCACGTTTACTTCATCAATCATATATTCAAAGCATTATTCCTAAGTCTACTGTATTCATATTCTGTGTACTTAAACAACAAAATAATAAAGTCGCGACCTCACTATAACCTTACATACATACACACACAGGTAAAATTATTCAATACAATCATCAAACAAGATCACAGTGGCTCACCGTGCACATGTATTATAATAGCAGAGCATACACACACACACAAAAATAACATTAATTAAACAAATATCATCATTAAATCATATATCTTCTCATACGATAAATTGGCTCATGAATTGCAAGCAAGGAAAAGTTAACATTAAATCCTAAAAGTAATAATGGAAATATCTCATGTTGTAAATATGTTTAGTGAGACTACAGTATTTCAGGGACAAGACCGACCTGAATTACACTGGTCTCCTGTGGTGTGTCAGCCGAGCAGGTAAACACTGGCCTTAGGTTAACATTGGGACGCAAATAATAATACACTTATTCAGTAAAATTCTGCCTAGCTTACAATTGGATAAGCATGTTTATAAACTATGTAGTCAACTGTGAACATGAACATAGACAATTCGGTGAGGTATTTACTCGTTACTACTAAACTTATCAGGGGAATTTTATAGTTGCAAATCAGTAATATTGACAATTTTAATAAGACAATTTTCTTCAATGGCATTCCTGGTGTAAATTACGTTTAAGCAAGATATTTAACATTTTATTATGTATGTTCGTACGTGGCAGTATACACCCAGAACATAAGAGAACGACTGTGGAGCTCCCCGGTTAGGTTAGTTAGATTCAAAAGTGTTTTTCCGATGGATTTCGATGTGTTCCGAAAACTTTTAACCTTTATTTTATAACAAATATATTGGTTTGCGCCAGACATGGTCAAATTCGTTCATAACACATTAAAAACCACCAGAAAAACAGTTTTAACTTCGTATTGTGACAAGTGAAATGTTACCCTAGATTATACATATTTCCACTATGGTGGGCGTGGGTTCTTCCTGAACTTGTATATGGACGTGTGCATGGCGGCGTTGGGACTGGAGTCATGATTCACTTGCAAGGAATCACGTGTGAGGAAATTATGATTCACTATTGACGAACGACAAGTGTTGATTCACCAGTTGGGGAAGTCGACTTGTGCCCATGCCAGTTCGTAGCAGGAGGCGAACACGAGGTCTGGGAGTCTATCGGTGGTGTACCAGAGGTCATCGTGGGGGGTCCTACGGGCGTCGAAGGTGGTGAAACCGAGGTACTCCAGCATTACAAACAGGTCGTAAATCATCGTGTGGTACTCCATGCCCGGATGAATCTCAATGCCCAACTGTGGGAGTAGAAAAGATCAACTGCGTGTGAATGGGTTGGTGACTATTTTTTTGCGGCGAATAGCTCAACGGGCACAGGTCATCGATCCACAACGGGGCCTGGGTGACGAAAAAATAAGAGTACAAAGAAATTAAAGATATAAGAGAAAAAGACGAAATGAATCTACAGTTCTAAACCACGAAGATGCCGGAAACAACTTTGAAGTGAGACATTGTATGAGTATGGAAACACAGAAGAAGGCAGAGCATTCCACAGTTCGGCTGTGTGAGGAAAGAAGGAGGTACTATAACGGGTTATTCTAGTGTGACTGACATCCACACAAAACGGTGGGCACCGCGGGCAAGACGTGTGTTACGAGCCCACGGCCTGGGTCCGACTAATTACCCAAATGTAGCAAAATGTAGCCGCAATGAAGTCAAATAATGGTCCTACATGAATAAATCGAACTGCTAATCACTTCTCGACTAGTATTTGGTGTCATAAAGTCACAAAAAAATTGGTAAACTTAATTTAATCTGAGTTAATAGATCGAGTGCAATAAGTGCATGTACCTAACCTAACACAACACAACTCAGATTAAATTAAGTTTACCAATTTTTTTGTGACTTTATGACACCAAATACTAGTCGAGAAGTGATTAGCAGTCCGATTTATTCATGTAGGACCATTATTTGACTTCTATTGGTATCATTTGCTACATTGGTACATTACGGGAAGAGAACGGGAAGAGAGATTATCAACTAAAAGAGGAGAGTTAATAAGACGAAATGCCTTTCATTCCACCCTTTCTAACAGTTGGAAGAAGAGCCACCCCAGATATGAAAACAGTACTCCAAGGTAGGACGAATGAAACCCTTATAAACTTGAAGCAACTGCTAAAGAGTGAAGTAGCTACGGCATCTGTACAGCATTCCCAGCTTTCGGGAGGCAGCTTTAGCAATGTTGAGGATGTGTGGCTTCCATCATTTCATGACATATAAGAAGAAATGGTGAGGCCTAGCATATCTATTTTAGAATTTGGCAGAATGATTGCATCCTGAAATGTGATTGGTGGAAGATCTTCTATTTTGGAAAGTGTAATTGATAAATACTGTGTTTTATTACTATTGAATTGAACAAAGTTTCTACCTCCCCATTCAGAGATGCTGCACAGATCCGCATTGATAGATGAAACGATATCAGCTCGAGAAACAGATCTAGTTTGAGAATTAGGTGGGAAGGGAAAATGTGGAGAAGAGTGAAGAGTAGAATCATCAACGTAAGAATTGATAAAATTACTGTAGTCGTAGTGTGAAATAAATCATTGATAAAAAGAAGGAAGAGAGTAGCTGAAAGAACAGAACCCTGTGGGACACCACTACTGGTAGAGAAAGAGTGAGAGGATCGATCCCTCGACAACAACTGCCATGGATCGGTTCTCAAGGAAGCTGGAGATTAGAAAACAAAGTGGGGGAGAGAAACAACAAGAGGGAAGTTTAGAAAGCAAAGACTTGTGCCATACCCTGTCAAATGCTTTGGAGATGTCGAGGGCCACGACGAAAGTTTCCCCATAATCCCTAAGAGAGGATGACCAAAGATGGGTGCAGAGAGCAGATCACCAGTAAATCTCTGCCTGGCGAAGCCATACTGGTGATCCAACGAAAGAGAATGGCGTTCAAGGTGACGGAGAAAATGGGAGTTTAAGATAATTTAGAAAATCTTAGAGAGGGATGAAGAAGCAATGGGGCGATAGTTAGAGGGATTAGAATGGTCACCCTTCGGGATGGGCTGAACCAAGGCATGCTTCCAAGAAGAAGGAAAAGTTTGGGTTTTGAGGCAAAGACAAAAGAGGCGAGCAAGCACAGTGGCCAAGAACTTCAGCACACTCCCTCAGAACATGAGGGGGTATTCCGTCCGGTCCATGCGCCTTACTCACATCCAAACTGGATAACACACCAGCAACCCTATTAATGGAGATTATAGGAAAGTGCATAGGTTCAGTAGGAGGGGTAGAGTTGGAATCGTCTAAGGTAGAGATTGAGGGGAATAAAGTGCCAAAGAGATTGACTTTATCAGGGGGAGAGTTGGCTATATAGAGTTACCAGGTCGGAAGAGAGGAGGAAAAGAGGGAGTGCCTTTATCAGGGGGAGAGTTGGCTATATAGAGTTACCAGGTCGGAAGAGAGGAGGAAAAGAGGAGTGCCTTTATCAGGGAGAGTTGGCTATATAGAGTTACCAGGTCGGAAGAGAGGAGGAAAAGAGGGAGTGCCTTTATCAGGGAGAGTTGGCTATATAGAGTTACCAGGTCGGAAGAGAGGAGGAAAAGAGGGAGTGCAAAAGTTATTAAAGATGTTTTTGGTTACGGACAAGAAGGACTTACAAGAAGAAGAGTTAGTCAGGTCAGTGGTCTTCCTAGCCTTTTTTCCTTTTTGTTACGGGCACTAGCCCACCAGGGCACAGGTCACTGAGACCCACATCAAGGCCTGGGGTGAAAATATAATACTAATACTACTACTAATGATAATAATTAAGAAAATTATAAAAATTGATAAAAAATATATATAATAATAATAATAAAGGACCATAAATAAATAAAAATCAATAGCGAGAAACAATATATGTATGTTGTGTTGTCAAAGGAAGAAAAACAATTATTGAGACCCTGCAATTGTGTATCAATGAGGCAGAAAGTCAGAACAGCAACCTGGACTTGGTCGAAATTTTCGTAATGCCATATGGCAGCAGGGTCTACCATTAGACAACACCTCCTTGTTTGATAGCTGCCTACTACCAGCTTAATCTAGCTCTAAACAGTTAAGATCACCTGAAGATTAACTCCAGCTTATCTTACTACTCACTAGGTTAAGCTGTGTCATGTTATGTTAGGTGAGGATAGGTCCTACGAGTGAATCATTAACCCTTACCTGTTTCACTTGTCGTAGGCTGTCAACATCTTGAGAGAGTTGCTGTAACACTGAGTACTCGTAGCCCTCAATGTCTATCTTCAAGTAGTCTATTGTCTGCCGAGAGAAGGAAATATACCAAATATCTGTAATAGTGGAAGCATCATATACAGAAGACAGTAGATAGATAGATAGATATTCAGCTTATGTCAGTCAGCATTTAGCAGCTTTGTGTAGTAGTAGTGTGCATTGTTTTGCCTCATGGGAACGAGATCATCGGCCCCTTGGCCAACAACAGTTGCAAGTCACTGAATGCCGCATAGATCTGCGGCATATCTACCTGAGCTTAGGTAACTACTTGTGTACTAAGATATTTAATATTAGGTAATAAAATGGTAGCGAAGGTGTGGCTATAAGGGAAGGTTGGAGGCCAAGAAAAATAGTAGTAGTAGCAGTAGTTACAAACGAAACTAGTACTGTAGTGATAATAAAATAACAGTACTGTATATGCTCATTACATTGGATACATAACGTAAAGTAACTGATAAAAATATTACCAAACCTTATTAATATGACCGAGCATGTCAATTATGTGGCCAAGCGTTCTGACCGTGGCGTTAACACCGCCCAGCTTAGTGTGGAGGTCAGCTGGCCCAACACCCAGGTTGTAAAAATAGATCTTGTCTGACCTGCGGTGATCCTCCACACCCATCGTGGGGTCGAAGGCATACACCTGACCAGGGATACAATTATGTTACACAGTTTTTTTGTTTTGGTTTAGAATATACCGTACATAATACAGTATGCTACGATGGTCAGATAGTCTTAACTTATGTTTTATATTCAGTGAATTAGTTCAATACATTAGCAGTTGCGAGTGGCAACTGACAGGGTCCATAACTGGAAGGAGTCTCCGAACTCCTTGAGCCTGGCCATGGTATCTTATTTGGGTTTGATACAGTTTCGAACAGGAGTGAAGGAACTTGTGATCGCGGACTGTACATCTCTGTGAGAGGAAGGGGTGTCACTCACCTGACAGCCAAACTGTGCCATGGCGTCATCGAAGCTCCACTCGTTGTTGATGCCGAAGGAATATACGATACAATCTCCTGGTGTGATGTTGTAGACGGGCGCTAGACACACGGCCTTGTCCCCGTCCACAGGGCCCGCCTTGCTCTTCATCCCTCCGAAGTACTGCTTTTCAGGGCACCTCACCTGTGGAGTCTCCGCGTACCTGTTGGTTCACCATCCGGATTGTGTGACAGAATTGCTGAACTAATCTCAGTATGTTAATGTATTCCAGCCTAACAACATCAGATTACCTGAAGAATCTCCACCCCAGCTTATTTTACCGAAAGATTGACAAGCTTAACACTTACCTAACTTAACCTCATCTCCCTATTCTAATGTAGCATAACCTATAGGCATTTATTGTAAGGCGTTTTAAGAAGCACGGAATAGCTAACGCGTTAGCTTCCCGGACTGCCATTAAAAAATACGACATTGTACTGCGTCTTAGGAGTAACTGTTGCACAACAGTCTTCAGAAAACACTAAAATTAGGAGAACTGTTATTTGAACAATACAGAAAGAAATAGTGAAGAAAATATATAGAAAATTATGGAAAGAGACAAAAATGGAAAAAAAAGTTAATGAGTCAACAATAAACAAGAATAACACAAAAAAATCGGGCCTGTTGTAAAGGTAGGTGGTCCAGATACCGGGGTGGGAGCTTTAAACCAAGGTAGGTATCTACCTACCTTGGTTTAAACCACACTGCGTAAGCTCTCGTCTCGCTGCTACCATGTTTACAGCTGTTCGCTTACAGAAACACGCAATATGACGAATTTCAGGTTCGCTGTCTTAATTTTTGCACTTACAGAACTTTAATAAACTTTTCACCCTTATTTAAAGTATCTTATGAGTAATGATATTAAAGTTTTAATCATAGTTGAGTAATTATCAATATTGTTACAACAAAGTCACCAACGGCCAATGAACTCAGACAGCACCCACGTAAAACGGGGAAGCCTAAACAAGTTTCAACTAGGCGCAATCCTTTTCAATTCTTTCATGCATTACGCTTTGTTTTAGGTCCTATCCAGAATACTACCGTATATAAAACTATTTTCATTATCATATCACAGTTTCTTATTGCCTTAAATGCCCCCAACTTTTCAATATTAATCAAAATAGTCTCCATAAGTGCCATGATCAGCGTTATTTTCACCGGGAAAAATCGCTGATTGGTTGTTAACTATTTGTGCCGCTTGGGCCTTGCGAAAGGCTAACGCCTCATCGAGGTCACGAGGTGTTAGCTAGTGTCATGCACACAAATCAAAAGCAGCGCCTGCATACCGAATAGATAATGCGTTAGCTATTCCGTGCATCGAAAACGCCTTACAATAACTGCCTTATTCACCAACGTAACCTAACCTAGCCAAGGCAGTCCTAATCAAACATATTAAATAAATCTGACCTAATAATTTCGTGAATATATAAAACTCCTCAACAGAAAACTAAATATACTAACATCGTCTAACAGGTCATTGCTGAGTAACAAAGCGGAAGCAAGAAGTGGCACTCACTGATGGAAGGCGGTGAGGTTGTTGTTGAAATAGAAGGGCGGCTTGTGTCTGCTTGAGGCAACTGGCAGCATCTCTCTACAGTAGGTTGACGCAGGAGGATGTAGTACTGCTGTGTGTGGTGTTGTCCCCGTTAACGCTTTTACTGACGGTGACTGTGCTGCTGCCCCTTCTGTTATTGCTGGTGTTCCTGATGTTACTTCTGTTGGTGTTCCTTTGTAAGCATTGTCAGGTCCGTTAGGTAGACCTCGTTAATAGTGTTCTTAACCCTCCTTCACCATTTTCGTTGTCATCCTCCACTGAATAGCTTCCCAAAAACTGGAAAGTTCTCTGACATGTAAAGAAAACTGCATTTCTACGACACTAAGTATAAGTTGTGGTTGGTTGTACTTTTAGGTTAAACTTATTACGTGTGTACAGGGGAGGGGTTGTTATAATGTATGCTTCTGCTAGCTAATATTTAAAGTATAATGAGATAGTTTTATATGATAGTTCTTAACGTGTTATTATACAAAATAGTGGGTTGTATTTTATTTAGATGTTTCAACTTAGGGTTATTAAATACTGTACACTTTCTTCTTCACCATATACTCGAAAAAAAATGTTAGAATGAGAATAAATAGTAAATCACAAAAAAATCGACATTTAGATAATCTCACCTGAAAGTTAACCACTATAACCCTACCTGGGGGTTAGGTTAGAGTAGGTAACTTATATTAGGTTTGCATTAGGATGGTATCTTTGAGCTAAATTGTTGTCAATATACAGTACTTACTACGTTGTCAGCAAGAGCAAGACGCAACACAAGTAGACCCCAAGTTGTAGTTGAGGACCTCTGTACTGTGTGTGCAGCCTGGGAAAAAAGGAAAGTGCGAGTATAGTTTAATCTCTCGGTAAAATACCGTACAATTATTTCTCCCAATTTGCAAAACAATTTTCCAGTATTGTTAGTTCTTTATCTAGTGAAACACTGCACAGGTACATTTTTCACACTTGCACACTTAAATTGAATAAGTCGTGAAATTAAATAATGACGTGAATATTTATGAATACAGTAAAGTGTTTTACTGTACAGTACAGGTACTTACATCCGACGCATTGTTTGTAAGTGGAGTCACTGCCAGTTTAAGAAACTGCAGGAAGGTTGATGACTGTAGACTGGGTGGTAGAGACTGTGAGTGGACTGTTTACTGGGTGTTTAGTGCTCACAATAGGTAATAAGTTATCGGTACAAAATTGTCAATGCTATAACTTCTTTGAAGTAAAAGTTGTGAATTCTTGTAATAACCTGCAAGAAAATGTTGTGGCAGACGTGCCCAACACAGGAACATGTTTAACTGCCACGCCAGCTGTTCCATGCAATTTCCAGTTACCAGTGACAAGGAAGAAGGAAAATCGGTCCAATATTATTTTACCCTTGTGCTGTACACACATTTTCAGTAAACTTGCCAGGACATTCCAACTCAGCTGTCATAGCTATGGAGTTTAATTTTCTAATCCTGAGTTACGAAGAATGTGTATTAGTATTTGAGAATCTGTTTCCAGTCATTTTGGAAAATATATACTTATTTCTATATCGTAATTTCTTCATTTGTTTTCCTGTCGTGTAACTAAAAAAACTATAAGTAAGGTTAGCAACAACTTCAAGAAAAATACCGTGCTTGAAATGTGCATAAGAAAAAGAAAGCTGGGATACTTTGGTCATATAATTAAGGATACGGGGATGGTAATAAAATTTTGAATGGGTAAAGTTGGGGATAAGAGGGTCAGGGGAAGGATGAATAAAAGTAAAAATTGTGTGTATGTGTGTGTGCTTGTGGTGCGTGTGTGTTGTGTGTGGTATATTGTGCTTTGTGGTGTGTGTATTGTGTGTGGTATATTGTGCTTGTGGTGCGTGTGTGTTGTGTGTGGTATATTGTGCTTGTGGTGCGTGTGTGTTGTATGTGTGTGGTATATTGTGCTTGTGGTGCGTGTGTGTTGTGTGTGGTATATTGTGCTTGTGGTGCGTGTGTGTTGTATATGTGTGGTATATTGTGCTTGTGGTGCGTGTGTTATTGTGTGTGGTATATTGTGCTTGTGGTGTGTGTGTTGTGTGTGTGGTATATTGTGCTTGTGGTGTGTGTGTGTTGTGTGTGGTATATTGTGCTTGTGGTGCGTGTGTATTGTGTGTGTGTGTATATTGTGCTTGTGGTGCGTGTGTGTTGTGTGTGGTATATTGTGCTTGTGGTGCGTGTGTGTTGTGTGTGGTATATTGTGCTTGTGGTGCGTGTGTATTGTGTGTGTGTATATTGTGCTTGTGGTGCGTGTGTGTTGTATGTGTGGTATATTGTGCTTGTGGTGCGTGTGTTGTGTGTGGTATATTGTGCTTGTGGTGCGTGTGTATTGTGTGTGGTATATTGTACTTGTGGTGCGTGTGTGTTGTGTGTGGTATATTGTGCTTGTGGTGCGTGTGTGTTGTGTGTTTGGTATATTGTGCTTGTGGTGCGTGTGTGTTGTGTGTGGTATATTGTGCTTGTGGTGCGTGTGTTGTGTGTGTGGTATATTGTGCTTGTGGTGCGTGTGTTGTATGTGTGTGGTATATTGTGCTTGTGGTGCGTGTGTGTTGTATGTGTGTGGTATATTGTGCTTGTGGTGCGTGTGTGTTGTATGTGTGTGGTATATTGTGCTTGTGGTGCGTGTGTGTTGTATGTGTGTGGTATATTGTGCTTGTGGTGCGTGTGTGTTTGTATGTGTGTGGTATATTGTGCTTGTGGTGCGTGTGTGTTTGTATGTGTGTGGTATATTGTGCTTGTGGTGCGTGTGTGTTGTATGTGTGTGGTATATTGTGCTTGTGGTGCGTGTGTGTTGTATGTGTGTGGTATATTGTGCTTGTGGTGCATGTGTGTTGTATTTGTGTGGTGTATTGTGCTTGTGGTGCGTGTGTGGGGGGTATTGTGCTTGTGGTGCGTGTGTGTGTGTGTATTGTGCTTGTGGTGTATGTGTGTGGTTTATTGTGCTTGTGGTGCGTGTGTGGTGTATTGTGCTTGTGGTATGTGTGTGGTTTATTGTGCTTGTGGTGCGTGTGTGGTGTATGTGTGTGTGGTGTATTGTGCTTGTGGTGCGTGTGTGTGGTGTATTGTGCTTGTGGTGCGTGTGTGTGGTGTATTGTGCTTGTGGTGCGTGTGTGGTGTATTGTGCTTGTGGTGCGTGTGTGGTGTATTGTGCTTGTGGTGTGTGGTGTGGTGTGTGGTGTATTGTGCTTGTGGTGCGTGTGGTGTATTGTGCTTGTGGTGCGTGTGTGGTGTATTGTGCTTGTGGTGCGTGTGTGGTGTATTGTGCTTGTGGTGCGTGTGTGGTGTATTGTGCTTGTGGTGTGTGTGTGGTGTATTGTGCTTGTGGTGCGTGTGTGGTGTATTGTGCTTGTGGTGCGTGTGTGGTGTATTGTGCTTGTGGTGCTTGTGTGCGTGTGTGTATTGTGCTTGTGGTGCGTGTGTGGTGTATTGTGCTTGTGGTGCGTGTGTGGTGTATTGTGCTTGTGGTGCTTGTGTGCGTGTGTGTAGCGGTAGCACATGCCTTCAGAGAATAGCTCAACGATGGGCAGATAAACAACCCAACAACAAACAACCAAAATACCAGTGCTGAATGAGGTCCCATCAAAGCTGTCATCATAAAAACTGCACCGAGACACTCCAGCCCGATCAAAATAAAACCCCATGATTGGTTTGATGAAAACGACCTGAAAATCGAAGTACCCATGAATAGTAAAACGTGCTGCTCTCACTTTCCACGAGAAGAAAACGGTGGTCCAGCGCGAACTTTGTAAACTAATGAACGAATGGTGGACAAATAAAGCGTGTAAAATGCAAAAAAAAAATACAGAACAACACTTGATGAGTGAATTTTTCAATTCAGCTATAACAATATATGCCCCCCAACCCCCCTCCGCTCATCCGATGGTAACTCCCTAATTAAAGATGAAGAAGGCATCCATCAGCGCTGGAAAGAGCACTATCATTCACTGCTTAACTGAAAGGCTGATGTAGATATCCTGACTACCCAGCAGGTTTCTCAGCACCCAGAATTGACCCACCCACCCATTCCTAGATGAGGTAGCTACTACCATCAAGTTGATGAAAAATAACAAAGCCACAGGGCTTGATGGAATCCCAGCCAAGGATGTATAAAGCAGGAGGACCTCTGCTTACCAGCCATCTCCACTCACTCCTGGAGAATATATGGGAAAAGAAGGAAATCCCCCAAGATCTTAAAGACGCCTCCATCGTCAATATTTATAAAAGCAAGGGAGTCCGGTCAGACTGTGGCAACTAACACAGGATCTCGCTGCTGTCCATAGCTGGCAAGATTATTGCCTGAGTGCTCCTAAACAGACTTCTTCCTCAGACGTAAAACTTCCTCCCAGAATCTCAAAGTGGTTTTAGACCATCACGTGGCAACACTGATATGATCTTTGCTGCCCGCCAGATACAGGAAAGGTACAGAGGACAGCATTGTGACCTGTACATGGCCTTCATCAACCTTACTAAGGCCTTTGACTCAGTCAATAGGGAAGCCCTCTGGCATACCCTCAGTCGTTTTGGCTGCCCACCATAATTCATTCCCATTGTGAGGCAACTCCACGATAGCATGAATGGCAGTGTCCTACATAATAGCACCCAGTCTGAGTTCTTTCCCATCCAAATGGGGGTAAAACAAGGATGTGTACTGGCACCAACTCTCTTTTCCATTTTCTTGGCTGCCTTCCTTACTCGTGCTAGTGCCAATTTAGCCGGTGGGGTGGACATCCAGTACCTGATGAAGGGACTTTTCAACATAAGATGACTCCAGGCAGGAACAAAGGTGTCAGCCGCCTCCATCACTGAACTTCAGTATGCAAACGACCTCACACTCATTGCTAACACTGAATGCGACCTACAGGAGATCCTGAATATCTATGCAGATGTGTTTGCACACTTTGGCCTTGAGGTGAATGCTCATAAGATTTAGATTCTCTCTTAGCCTGCTCCTGGTTCAGCAACACCTCCACCATCCATCCAACTTAACGGTTCTACCCTCTCTAATGTTACCCACTTTCAGAATCTCGGCTCCCACTAGTCCACCACCGTGGACATCGATGAAGAGATTCAACATCAGATCAGATGCACTTCAGATCAGATGTGCATCTCAAGCCTTTGGCAGGCTCTGTACCCGTGTCTTCAGCTGTAGGGAGCTGAAATTATCTACAAAGCTGCACGTGTATCGAGCAGTGGTCCTCTCCACCCTGCTGTATGGCAGCGAGACATGGGTCACATACAGGGGGCACCTCAAGGCACTTGAAAACTTTCACTAACGTAGTCTACGTTCCATCCTCTGAGTTCGTTGGGAAGACGAGCAAAAATGCCAATATTCTTGCTGACACCAACTGTAGGAGCATCGAGGCTACCATTATACATGAAGAACTACGTTGGACTGGCCATGTTACCTGCATGGATGACAGTAGACTGCCAAAGCAGCTACTTTACAGTCACCTGATGAATGGTAAACGTAATGTTGGCGGACAGCGGAAAAGGCAATCCTGAAAAGTGCCAAATCAACCCCCTCATCTGGGAGACGATCACTCCACACCATAACGTTTGGAAGAGCACCACACAAGAAGGCGTCAATACTTTCGAGTTAGCCCAACTGCAAACCGAGGCAGACAAGTGCCAGCACTGGAAAGACATTGCTGCCACCCCTCCCACACTAGATGTAGGCAGCCCTTCACATGTGCAGCATCTGTGGACGGCCCTGCCAATCCCGTATCGGCCTCTTGAGTCGCCTCAGAGCTCACCAATAAAATTAGGAGAATTGTTATTTGGACAATACGGAAAGAAATAGTGAAGAAAATATATAGAAAATTATGGAAAGAAAGACAAAAAAGGAAAAAAATCAATAAGATTAACACCAAAAATCGGGTGTGCTGAATCCACGTGCCCCAGACCTCGCCAGGCCTGTGTAAGAGGTTAAAGATTATCAGTATAAGAAGTAAAATAACTAAGAAATAGATATCAGAAGGAATAAATAAAATAGGTAAGAAGAAACTGAAAGAACGTTGAAGTAGAGAATAAAACAAGGAAACAAGTACAGTACGTACTGTATAAAGAAAGAAAATAAAGAAAAGAAAAGAAATAAAATTAAAATAAATTCCCTCCCCTACAAAATTGTGGGCAATGGTGGCACCTACAAAATGGCCTACAGCAGTGGGATAGGTACCTACAATCACAAGTGTTGTTGAATTACCATTGGCTGTCCCGCCAGTGTCCGGTAATTTCCCGAAGATCGGTATCAGTGTACAGACAAAATTACAGGCAGGTAGATTTCCACCGATCACAGAAACACACTTGTGCACTGTAGTCTGCTTTAATAATCACTAAATCTTCACAGTTTCACAACACTTCACACGGTAATGGCTTCACAGCTGAACTTCTCACTTCGA